CAGAGCTCGCTCTCGCTGGAGCGCTGCAGGATGGACAGCAGGCTGCGGACCACCCAGCCCCGCGTGGGCGCGTGGTAGCAGAGGTTGCGCAGCACGCGGTGCAGCCGGCTYGTGTTCAGCTTGGGCTCGTCCACGAACAGCAGCACCAGCAGGCAAGACAGCGCCTCGTGGTCCAGCAGCAGCCGGCCGCGCAAACGCAGGAGGCTGTCCACGCTGCTGCCCGCCGGCCTGGGGGGGAGACACAAAACTGACCCAAACTGACTCCAAACCAGCCCTAAAATAACCCTGAACTGTCCTGTCCACACTGCTGCCCGCCGGCCTGGGGGGAAGACACAAAACTGACCCAAACTGACCCCAAAATAACCCTGACTGACCCTAAAATAACCCTGAACTGCCCTGTCCACGCTGCTGCCTGCCGTCTGAGGGGGAGACACAAAGCTGACCCAAACTGACTGCAACTGACCCCAAACTAGCTCTGAAATAACCCCAAACTGCCTTGTCCACGATGCTGCCCGCCGGCCTGGAGGGGACACCAAAAACTGATCCAAACTGACCCCAAACCAGCCCTGAAATAACCCCAAACAGCCCTGTCCACACTGCTGCCCACTGGTTGGGGGGGGGTAAAACCCAAAACTGACTGAACTGACCCCAAAGTGACCCCAAAATCCCTCCATCACCCCCACACTGACCTGCTGTGGGTGCCGGTGCCCCCCATGTGAAAGGTGCCCCCTCGTTGCACCGCCAGCCGCGTGTACTGGACGCCACGGTTCCCGCTCAGCCGGCTCGTGAACGCTGCGGGGACACCAGGGGGACGTGTCACACACCGGGGACACCAAGGCAGTGTCACACGGTGGAGACAGGGAATCTGTCACTGTCACACACTGGGGATGTGTCACATTGACTGAGGGGACACGGTCAGGGTCATGTCACACACTGGGAGACAGGGGAGGCTGAAGGGTGGGGGAAGAGGGAATGGGGAGCACAGAGAATGGGGGAGGGTCTGAAGGAATCAGGAAGAGGGCGGTGGGAATTGGGGAGGGGGCTCAGGCAATTTGGGTGGGCCTGAAGGAACTGGGAGGACTGAGGGAATTGGGGAGGGAACTGAGAGAATTGGGGGGAAAAGAGCAAATTATGGCCAAGAGAGGGAATGGAGCAGGGCAAGGCAAACAGGGTGGGGGC